CCTGCTCAGGGATCTCAGGTCCAAGGATGTGCTCTACTCCACCACCAGCTCTTCTCTCCTGATGGCAATGATATCCCCTTTCTGCTTCTAAGAAGGCTCTTTTTAAGGCTGGCAGAGTGACAAAACTAACCAATCCCAACATCTGAGTTCTATACACCTTATTTGCATGGTTCCACCCAGTAATCTGGTAGGAATTACAAAGACTATGGCTAGAAAAGCCATACCAAGTAATTCACTGTACCACAATAACCATATTGAAGCCTCCCAATCCTAACAGGTATTTATTACTGCCTCCATTTTACAAACAAAGAAACTAATAGAAACAGGTTAACTGACTTGCCTAAAGTTCACATTAAAAGGAGCTGTGCGTGACGCAATGGTTAACCGGTTGGCTGCTAACTGAAAGGCTAGCAATTGGAACCCATTATCCACTTCCTAGGAGAATGATGTGGCAGTCTGCTTCCATAAAGATTACAGCCTATAAATCCTACGGGGCAGTTCTACTCTGTCCTAAAGTGTTGCTGTGAGTCAGAATCAACTCAACAGAAAAGGGTAAGGTCATATTATTGCTGATTCTTGACCTTTGTTTAAATCCAGGCCTGAGTGAATCCACTGAGCATGGATATTGGATTCAGAAGGGCCTGGATTTTCAACAAAGCTCTTGCCACAAACCATATCTTTAAGCAAGACACTTAACCTCCCTTTGCCTTGGATTCATCACAGTAAAATGGCAATGATATTATTTGACTTCCAGGGTTGTGAGGATTAAATAAGAGATATGAAACACCTGGCTAGAACTTGACACCTGTCTAATCAGCTTGCATTAAATGTTAATTATTATTTGATGTCCAAGATTCAAAATGTTGGACTGCTGGTAAGATGGAGGAATAGGCAGACAAGCCACACAAACCCTCCTCAACAAAGAAAAGAGAAACTAATTGACAGAGATACAGAAGATAATCCTGGAGCTCTGAGCTTTGAAAGAAAGTACACAGACATGTATGAGACACCAACTACTGGAAAAATTTGAATGAAAACAGGAGCTAAAAATAGGTTCTGTTTGCCAAGGACAGCAGGGACATACAAGAGGCTGACAACAGGAGACAGGTAGTGAGTGTATAAGTGCTGCCAACTAGCGAATAGAGGAGCACAGCACAGTACCCTGCTTACGTAGGTAACATACAAACAAAACAAAATCACGGGCAAGTCACTCCAACATACAATCACCAATTAAATATAAACATATAAACACAAAAACATCACAATGCCTCGGAGACAACAGAGCATCACAGTCCACACAAAGAAGCAAGATAAAGCAGGAGAAACAAGGGACCAGGATACAGACCCAAAACATATCCCCGAGGAAGATGCAGCATTGGAACTCCCTGATGAGGAATTCAAAAGAATAATATTTAGGTATCTTCAACAAATTGAGAGGCAGAGCAAGGAAAACACTGACAAAATTGAGGAAAACACAGAGAAAAGCCTAGAACAATTTTGAAAAACAATACAAGAACAAAATGACAAAATAAATGAAAAATCAGAAATGATACAAAATCTACATACACAAATCCAGAAGATTAAAAATAAATTTTCAGACACTGAACAGGCAAAGGAGTAGAACTGAATCAATGTAAGACAGAATTAGTGAGATTGAAGGCAAATACCTGAATACTTCTTTAGAAAGGGATCAATCAGAAAAAAGATCAAAACAAAATGAACAAAGCCTAAGGTTCCTGTGGGATACCATCAAAGGGAATAAACTACGTGTAACTGGAATTCCAGAACCGGAAGAGACAAATAAAACCATAGAGAAAACTGTCAAAAGATTTGCTGGAAAACAATTTTCCTGGTATGATGAAAAATGAGAATATATCCATTCAGGAAGTCCAACGAACCCCAAACATGATAGACCCCAAAACAAAATCACCAAGATATATCATCATCAAACTCACCAAAACCAAAGACAAAGAAAGAATCCTGAAAGCACCACAGGAAAAATGAAAAGTTACCTGCAAAGGGCAACCAATAAGACTAAGCTCAGATTTCTCAGCAGAAACTATGCAGGAAAGAAGACAATGGGATGGTATACATAAAACCCTGAAAGAGAAAAATTTCCAACCAAGAATTATGTACCCAGCAAAATTGTCCCTCAAATATGATGGTGAAATTAGGACATTTCCAGAAAAGCAGAAATTAAGGGAATTTGTTAAAACCAGACCAACCCTACAAGAGACGCTAAAGGGAGTCCTTTGGACAGAGAACCAACAGCAGCAAACAACTGACCATTATCACACATGATAACATAACCCAGAAACCAACCCAGCTATGGAAGTATCCAAAGTAAATAAGCCTACAAGATTGTAAACAGGGAACCAGAGACAT